GAACCATCCCTTGATTTCTCTTCCAACTTCAGCCCCAGGATTTATCATAGTCAGAAGAACCCCTATGGTTTGACTTTGATAGCCCCCAGAAGCGTCAAAATCATGAGCCCAGCAACAAGGTGACGTTAGCTTAAATCCGCCAAGAAGAAATATAGCGACCCATCTCCACATCCGAGCGTGCATCATGCTCATGTCTGTTTGATAACGTCGGGCACATCCTGAAGTGCCGGCAAGTGGCTCCTTGCTTGTGTTCACATCATATGAGGTACGGTCAAGCTGTTGGTTTCCCCAAGTGGACATGAACAATTTGGTGAAATCAACCAAATACTGTTTGTTTTGCCCAAACCTATTTGATAGCGCTTGCAGGGGTCTTTGCGGTACAGCTTGCAGCACTGAAAAAGGCGAGCGTCTGATAGATCTTCTCCGTGTTGCAGTCGATGCGATCCAGCACGGAGCCCTCCGGCGATGGGTACTGGTGTCTTGGAAATGGCTTGTTTCGAGGGTACCCTTTTCAGGCTGGTTTAAAGGTTAAAGGCGAACCAAACGGGGAACCGCCAGGTTCGGGTTGGGATTTGTCGTCTTCTACTTTGACGCATACCCCCATATGATCTCAAATCTGGAATGCCCACTCAGAATGATCATGGCTCGTTGACCGGCGTTTTGCCAAAAGGATCCCTCAGCCCGAAGCTGCCTGGCTGGCTGGCTGGCTGGCTGGCTGGCTGGCTGGCTGGCTGGCTGGCTGGCTGGCTGGCTGGCTGGCTGGCTGGCTGGCTGGCTGGCTGGCTGGCTGGTTGGAAAGCAGCCCAGTGGCAAATGAACATCGACAGAGTTTGAGATGTTGAGATCCTGAGAGCTGATGGCTGCCATCAGATGAGCTTCAGGCTCTGATCAACTGGTTGCAAACATCGACAACCGGCTATGCGGCTAAACCCTGCTAGCGCGCGGCTTCTCACCACAAACTGTGCCACATGATAGGTTGGCTTGGCAAACCTGTTGGCGCCTCTTCATGCAAAGCCTTCAAATAGTCGCACCTCGGCACCCCTAGGGGCGTGCCCTGCTATCCGCACCGCAACTACTCTGGAAATGTTTCGCATCATTCACATTTCCAACCTACCTACCTTCCTCCCTGCCTGCCTACCTAGCCGGCTGGCAAGCCGGCCACCCAGTTGACAGGCAAATGATCAACATGATGGATGCAGAAAAGGCACTCTGCCCCACGCCTTTCTTGGCCAGCTTCGCAGTGTTCACCACATCTCACATGGGTCTGATCTTCAAGAAGCCCTTGATAGACATCATTTCGGGGATTCGGGTTGAAACCAGAAGGTTGGAGCATTTTTTAGCCTCCCGTTTGCGCGTGCGCTTGTTGTTTCGTGGTGAAATACAAAACCCCCTGCTTTGCTCAGTGCTCGTCCCAAAAACCAGTCAGCTCTTTTGACCCCATCTTGACACGCCTGGTCAATCACGAGCGTGGCCAGGTCCTTGAAGATGCGGTTCAGCCTCGCATGCCGCTCGACCAGCGAAATCGACTCAGGTTCCTTCCACTGAATCCGGCGACCTGTTTCAATGTACACGCGTGAATTTGTGAGGGCACCTTTCTTGGGGCTGGTTCAAAAGGAAACCAAAAGAAGCAATCTTTTTTTTGGGGGGGGGTCTTTCTAGCCAAGTCAATAGTGTGAAGCGCCCTGCAACGGAACCAAAATCTTGCGAGCTGCTGTCACTGCGTCTTCAGTGTCGACATCTCTGCACCAAATGCGACAATTGAGTCAAACCAGATTTTCCTTGAAAATTTGTCAAATGTGCCGCAAGAGCAGCTTTAGCTGTCGCCTCGTGTCACGAATCTAGGATCAATACATACACGGAACCCTACTAGTAACATACATATATATATATATATATAACATATTGTGTATCCATGTGTACATATAGACATTTGTATCCCGCAGACCGCACTTGCAAGCGCGGTTTGGGTGGAAAAGGCAGACTCAAGGCCGTGTCTCAAGAACCCAGGCCCCGGGCTCCACCACCGATGAGGCGATCTGGGCAATCTCGCTGCTGCGCTGGGCAGCGATGACCTCCCCGATTGCTTGGCTGCACTCTCTTTGCTCTTTCGATTTGTTGTGCCCCTTCCACACACACACACACACACACGCACACCAGCAACTGTGTCTTTCTCAAAACCAGCCAACAGACAGAGGATAAAAGGAAAACAGTGAGGGAGTTTATTGGGGAATACCAGGGGGAATACCAGGGGGAATACCAGGAGGAATACCAGGGGGAATACCAGGGGGAATACCAGGGGGAATACCAGGGAGAATACCAGGGGGAATACCAGGAAGAATACCAGGGGGAATACCAGGGGGAATATGAGGGGGAATACAGAGGAGAATGCTAGGCGAATACTTTTAAAAAAGAAAGTGCTAAGGAATGCTAGGGCAATATTAGATGAATGCTCTGAGAATACAAATACTAGGGGTAAGACAATACTACAGGAATAGGGGAATACTAGAGGACGACAAAGGGGAATGCTAGAAGAATATTGAGAAACAGGGTGAATACCAGGAAAATACTATGGGGATACTGATGAACTACTTGGGGAATGTTAAGGGAATACTGGGGGAACGCTGAGGAAATACTGGAGGGTATACTAAGCTAATACTAAAGCATTACTAGGGGAATACCCAGGCGTTACCGGGGACTACTTGGGGAATACTACTGTTCCACTGTAGGGGAATGCTAAGGATAAGTGCTGGGGAATGACTAAGGAAATACTAGTGGAATATTGAGGGGAGATTCGGGGGAGAGTGAGAGAATACTAGGGATATACCAAGAAAATACTAATGCAGTACTGGAGCAAAACTAGGGGAATACTAAGAGAATACAGAGGGAATGCTGAGAGCATACTGAGGGAATAGTAAGGGAATGCTAGGGACACACTAAGGGTGAATACTCGGAACTTGCTCGGGGAATCCCGAGGGAATACTTGTACGACACATACGAAACCAGGCCTGTAACGTCGGCAAAAAAAAGGAGTGGTTGGGGGCCAGCCAGCCCCCGTCTCTGAACCTGCGGAGTCAGGGGAAGCTCCAAGAGCTTGAGGGTTCCGGGGCCCAAATCAATCTGGGGTTCTGGTTCGAACATACGGGTTGCCGCTTCCATCCCGAATTTGCTGCAATCTTGCTGCGCAAAAATATCCCAGTACCCCAGGCACAAATGGTGCAGGATGTTCTTTATAGGACAGTTGGAGTTTTTGGTTGTGCTTAGATACCCTTCCGTTGAGGGCGTCTAATCCCCTGAAAGTTGCTTGTTTCTTCCCGGAACCCCGCCCCAAAGCAAGCAATCGGAACTGGACCACTGGCCTAATTGTGTCTTAAAATTTGCGGCCTCTCTAGGTTGGCGTCCTTCTGATTTCCCCTTTGAAACCATCCAGAGCAAGGGCTCCCCATTTTGAGACACGCGAAAATTCCTCCCAGAGCTCCTTCCCGGACTCCTTCCCCCCCATGCGGAACACACCAATGCTTGCAGCGCAAGGAGTCGAAAATTCGCGGTGGGGGCGCGGGGGGGGGGGGGGAGGATGCCTGATTTTCATCGCTGATCCGTGCGGCAGAATTACCAGACAAACCACAAATGGATTCAGGATTCATTTCAACACCCGAAAAACGGAAACATGTTTTACGTGAAGACCCCTGCAAAACGAAGGAAGCAGGGACACCTGGAGGAAATAAGCCCAAGTAGTCTCCCAACGGCATCCCCAACCTTCCGGAACCCTGGCCCGGAATTGCTGCAACCCACTCCGGAGCCTGTCTGGGCAAAGACCCCAAAGCTTCTAGCTGCTGGGAAACAAGACTAAACAGAAATAAGGAACCCGCAAGCAAGGGCCCTTCAGCATATGTGAGCTCGTTTTACCCGGTCAGCTTGCGACAATCTCCCCAGAAAGATAGATTCTTCCACCCGCCCTCAAAAGTAAACAAAACAAACATGGTGGATGTCCTTCGGGTTTCCCTTGAAACCAACCTTTAAAAAACAAAAAAACTTGAAACCAACCTTTTAAACATATGTTTACAAAAAAAACACAAGGTGTGGATGTTCTTCGGGATTCCTTTAAACCCACACCAAGGCAGACCGTTCTTTCTCCCAGCACGACCGGTGCTCCCAAGTCTTCGACCTCCATCTCGTCCAGGTCGTTGAGCTGCTGCTGCATCTGCAGCGGCGGCCCGGAGCCTACGTGTGACGCCAACTCTGGGGGTGAATGTTGACCCCGGATTAAGAAACCCCAGTTAATTTCCAGAAGGGGTGCTGTTTTGTAGCATTTTTCATGTTAAAGTCAAATCCCCATCAACACCCGGTCTCCAGAATTTATAGGGGGGTGTTCCCCTAAAAGTGATGATTCCCCCACTAAACCAGGGACACCCCCTCTAGTAATAAACAGGGGTTTATTCATCCGGGGTCAACATTACACTAAGGATATCTTTGGATCTGTGGAGTTTGATTCGTAGCTCGTCAACTTAAAATAATTACAAAGCATGTTGTGACATGACCTCAAATGAGACCCACAGAACAGAAAACATGCGGGGTCAAGAGACCCTTGAGTTGTGTGGTTAAGCTGCTGTGTCTGTTGCTCACATGGTGCGTTGATTTTGTTCTCGCATGTGGAACGCGCTAGGTCAGGGACATGTTTGACCATGCAACTCAAAGGTACAGGCCGACAAATGACAATGCTTTGAGGCCAGATAGATTGATGCATTCACCTGTGCCCAGTTGCAGATTTGAATCTGCTCGCATGGGGCCTGTTCGTTCCAACCCCAAACCTGCTTTTGTTGAGCATCGCGATACCTTTTCCTCGCATGCCATGCCCGTACTCAAGCGCAATCTTAGCTTCAATTTGGTACAGCAATCAGCATATTCAATGTACCTGCATGCTTTGAAACCAGAGCAACGGCGGCAGTGATCTCTGCATGTCAACGTGTCACGTTGATCCCAAAGAGAGCCCTGGAACCCCAACT